CCAAATGTTTAACTTCTTCAAACCTTAGAACTTCTTGAATATTTGTGGGGATATGAACAGAACATGAGAACCCGCTTCTAATCCTCTTACGTGAAGAGACCTATGCTTCAGAAACCCTGTTACCACTGGTTTTGTTGTTGTATTAAATGCCATAGAGTCGGTTCCAACTCATAACAACCCTGTATAAGATTTCCAAGGCTGTAAATCTTTGCAGGAGCAGAAAACCTCATCTTTCTCCTGTAGAGTTATTGGTGGGCTCGACTCACTGATCTTGTGGTTCTCAGTTCTGTGCTTATTGTATGAAGCCACCATGCTCCCGTTACCATTGGTTGTTGTTGATGTTGTTGTTAAGTGAGAAGACCACAAGCTCCGGTTAAACAGGGATATGGGAGGCTAGCTTGGTAACCATCACTTTGTGAATAAAGCCAACATCCACCCCAGCATAAACACAATCTGATTATGGCACTTAATAAAGAATTTTTTTTTTAATTATAAAAGGTTTCTTTTGACACCATACAGCTTCTACTCTTTCAGTCCTAAAGGCCTCTCAATCACTTGGTACTAAAGATCATCAAACATTATTATTATGAAGTTGTTGTTGTTAGGGGCTATCGATTCAGCTCAGACTCCTAGAGATCCTATGTACAACAGAATGAAACATTGTCCGGTCCTGCGCCATCCTCACAGTTGAGTCCATTGTTGCTACCACTGTATCAATCCATCTCATTGGGGGACTTTCTCTTTTTTGCTGACCCTCCACTTTACCAAGCAAGATGTCCTTCTCCAGGGATTAGTCCTTCCTCATAACATGTCTGAAGTATGAGACGTGAAGTCTTGCCATCTTGGCTTCTAAGGAGCATTCTGGCTTTCCTTTTTCCCACACAGATTTATTTGTTCTTCTGGCAGTCCATGGTATTTTCAGTATTCTTCACCAAAACCATAACTCAAATGTATCTATTCTTCTACAGTCTTCCTTATTCATTGTTAACTTTCACATGCATATGAGGCCATTGGAAATACCATGGTGTCCTATGCACTTGGGTTCCTGAGCAGTGGTGACCCAGTTGTAGAGTCCTCGCTTTGCATGTGAAGACACTGGTTTGGTTACCAGTTAGTGTACCACATGCACAACAACATATCACATGACCCATCTGTGGGCGAGATTTTCATGTTGCTATATTGCTAGACAAGGAGCTCTGGTAGCATAGTACGAATCGGGCTATGAGCCACAAGGTCAGCAGTTCGAAACTATCAGCTGCTCCGTGGGAGAAAGATGAGGCGTTCTGCTCCCGTAAAGATTTACAGCCTCGGAAACCCTGTACAGGGTCGCTATGAGTCGGAACCGACTCCACGGCACATAACAACAACAACAGCATATTGCTAGACATGTTTCCAGACAAAGATGAACTAGGAAGAAATGTCTGATGATCTATTCCTGAAAATCTTCAAGTGAAAGACCTATGGATCAGGAGTGGGGGGTGTGGGTGGGGGAGGGAAAATTATTCATGGGCTACAGGGTAGACACATGTTAACACGGGTGACAGGACAGGCAATATACAAGAGAGAGGTTAGCAGAGAAAGATGAAGGTAGCGGGAGACACAGGGAGGAATGCAATAGTCAAAGTGAACAGAGGGAACTACTTTGAACTGTTGGTACAAGGAAGGGATTCCAATCATTACAATGAAGCAAAGAATGTGATTTGTTGAATGTAAAACTGATGATCTGCTCTGTAAACCTTCACTCAATTCACACAAAAAAGTTTGAAAAAAAAAACAAAAAAAAAAAACCTATGGATCAAAATGATCCAATCCCTAACCCATCCTGGGGACTGGACCGGACCCAGCAGCATTTCATTCTGTTGTTCATGGGGTTGCCCTGAATTGGGCGCCAAACTCAATGGCAGGTACCATTTCCTGGCTGAGCCTCAGTTTCCTAACAGAACCTGGAGGCTGATCACTCTGGGTTTGTTGTAAGGAGTGAGCAGGGTTATACACAGTGCACACCCCAATGTCTGGCCCTTGTAAATACTTAGTACATAGTAGCTATGATTACTGATGTATAGACAATGTCCTTTTCCAGCAGGGTGATTATTACACGTCTTGAACATCCACTGTGCAGCTGAACAACACAACGTGTTTGTTTTCTTTCCTTCTGTTAAAAGATGCTTTCCATGTTCTGTTTTCATTTCTGATGTATAATTGGTAAAATTCCCTTAACTGTGGCTATTTCACCTTTGGAGAGGAAATATGCTACAGGAAATGGGCAAAGCAAGAGACTCCTTTTATAGTATTTTATCTTTGGGGCTTTCCTAAGAGTTCTCTCAAGTTTCACAGTCTTTCCTTAGTGGTGAAGGATATTTTCATGATTATTACTGCTGAGAATACTTGTAGAATGTTTTACTGGACTACATCTCTGCTCTTGAGGCTTCGTGCTAAGGAAGGCCTGTTTTGGGCTGTGGAGGAACTTTTTTGGTTGGTTTGTTTTGATTGTAGATCTAAATTCTAGGCCCTCAAGATCTAAATTCTAGGCCCTCAAGACCACACACTGTTGGGTGTTGCTGGGGCTACTTTCCAGCAGGAAGGTTTCTTGCTGTGAGCTGAGGAGGAAGCTGTTACTCAAAACACCATACGGTCCTTCTCAGGTAACTGAATTGATGGAGGGACAAGGAGAGCTGCAGGACAGGGCAGAGAAACAGATTCTGGAGAATAAAGAATCCAAGTTAAAACCCCGACTCACTGAGCACTTGCTCTGTGCCAGGCTGGGCATACTTGGAGACTATTTCACAGGACAACAATGACACAGTGGTGAAGGACTCAGCTGCTAACCAAAAGGTTAACTGGAAGTTTAACCCCACTCAATAGTCCCATGCAAGAAAGACCTGGTGATCCGCTCTCACAAAGATTACAGCCAAGAAAACCCAATGGGACAGTTCAACTCTGTCACATGGGGCCACTCTGAGTCAAAATTGATTTTATAAGCACCTAACAACAACACTAAGGAGCTGTGGTAGCGTAGTGGTTACAAATCAGGCTGTGAACCGCAAGGTCAGCAGTTCAAAACTACCAGCCGCTCCATGGGAGAAAGATGAGGCTTTCTGCTCCCATAAAGATTTACAGCCTCAGAAACCCTGTTCAGGGTCATATGGGTCAGAACCGACTTGACAGCACTTAACAACAACAATGCTAATGTCATCTACCCAACGTCTCTACTATACGAACCCTCTTTACAGATGGGCAAATTGGTGCTTAGAGAGTTTAAGTAATTTTCCCAAGGTCATGCAGCTAGTGAGGAGCAGAGCTGAAAGCTGAACTTGGTTACTGATAGAAGAATCCAAGTTGTTATTGGGGTTCTCTTTTTCTCAGAGGAAGCCAACTCATTGGGAACCTACCCTCTCCCATCAGCAAGAAGCCACATACTTCGGTAAGAGATGCTATTTAGTAGAGCCTGCCAGAGTTCTGCTCTACACCTGGGCTGAGTAGAAACAGGTTTGGGTAATAAAAGCAGGTACGGGAAGTAAATGGGCACAACAGGCCAGTTCTCCTCAGCCTCTGTCTCTGGCGGTGTGCAGGTGAGTTGCTCTCTGCTATGGAAGTGAGTATGGAGGGAACGCTGGAAGGGCCAGAGCCTTTCCTCTTATGGACATATCTGATTCTTAAAAAATACTCAATGTCTGTTTATGTCCTTGTAACTATGCCCTTGCTGTGGAGAGAGAATGACCTTAGATTTAGACTTGAGAATGGGCTCTGAAGGTGAAGAAGCTTGGGGTCTATAAAAACGCAGGCTGGGCCTGGAGTTTTCAGCTTCATTGTGCTGCCTCCACTGAAGGCTCCTGCAAGGACTGGGGGATTGGGGGAGCCATGGGTCCTCAGGGTAAGTGGGGCTGAGGAAGCCGGTTTCCTAGGTTGCCTTTTAAAAACTGTGTCCTTCCAGGGGCTGGGTGTTGGAGGCAGGTGTTCCTTCCCATTACCATCACTACGTGGTAATTACCATCACTACTTGTTACCTCCCCATTCCTGTAATGGGATTGGGCTTTGGAAGCATCAGGGGGCTTTATAAAGTTTGTGATTCTATTATCTTTCCATGTCATTTTCCCACAAACTTTTTGAAGTCCCCTCTTAGAAGGCTCCTCGGCCCTGGCCAGGCTCCCTGGCTCTGAGATGCCAATAAAGTGGTTTCAGCCTCATGCTTAGGATGGATTTGAGATGAGAAGAAGCTGGTGAAAGCAGAGTGATTACTTTAGAGGAAAGGACTTTGGGAACTGGGAGGAATGCACTATTCTGTGGAGCTGTGGCCCTTGCTTGGACCCCCTCAAAGGGGCTGAAATTCGGGTTAGCACTCCATGGAGCAGGACTGGGTTTGTCACCCTTTGGGCCCTTGGAGAATCTGGTTACAGACAATCATTTACTTAGCCAGCATTTCGAGGCTCATTGTCGGCCAGGATCAAAGCTTTGAATCTTTGAATTCCACTCACTGAGTGGAATCTCTGTGTGGTTCAAATAGCACACTTGGCTGCTAGCCAAAAGGTTGGAGGTTCAAGGTCACCCAGAGATGCTTTGCAAGAAAGGCCTAGTGGATCTGCCTTTCAAATAATCAGCCACTAAAAACCCCGGGAATGCAGTTCTGCTCTGATGTTCATGAAGTCTCCATGAGTCACAATGGATTCCACAGCAGCTGGTTTATATCACCAACTAAAGAGATGTGTTCCCAGGGAGGGCCGGGCCCTTTCCATCCCTGACTCTCACCATAGGGTTCCTATGGTCCCTTTCTGGACTGCATTCAGTCTCTGCATCTATACAATGGTTGGGAGGTGGGTCTCTTAGGTTTATTTTACCCATCACCTTCTATGATGTTGCCTCAGATCTGAGAAGCAGCCAGTGTCATTGTCAACTGAGGGAGCCTTGGCCCTCTGCTCTCTCCTCAGTGCCTGGTATGGTGGAGGGAGGGAATGGGGTGCCTTCCTGCTCCATGAGCTGAATGGGTCTCCTTTCTGTAGCAGACCATGCCGTGGTGGTGGCGGCTTCTGCTAGGGCTCTGGACAGTCATGCCCATCTGGAGTGGGGACAAGCTGCTGAATGTCTGCATGAACACCAAACACCACAAGAGAGAGCCTGGCCCAGAAGACAAGCTCTATGAGGAGGTATGGAGACCAGATGTGGTCTAGGGTTAATGGGGAGACTCAGATACCAGATGGTCTCTGAACCACCATCAACGTAGGCTTGTCTGGTTCCTTAGAATGGGATTTGGGCAGACCAGAAGAGTCCAGTGATTTTAAGTGTCTATCTTTGAACTGCTCCATACAAGGAACAGGGTCAAATGGCGACCCCAGAATTGCATTGTTGGTTCAGGATAGATTAAAACAAACTTTGCCTTCGCTCCTATCAGCTGTCTCTAGGGAAATGTATTAAGAGGCCCTTCCCACAAGCTTCTAAAGACAACTAACAGGGAGGAGGAGTTGTGGAGTGAGCAAGGACATACTCAGCCAGTTTTCCTCAGAGATATGTATCCTCCCATTTGATGCAATCCCAGATTCCTTGGCTCTTGCTGGGCTGCCCCTACCTGTTGTTGTTAAATGCCAAGGAGCAACTGGTGAGGTTGAATCACCAACTTGGTGGTTCAAATGGACTTTTCAGTCTAGCGCATTCACCTGCATTATAAGGACTCCTACCTGCTTCCTCACAAAAGCCTCCACCACCTCTCAAAGTTTTAAAATCCTGGAAGTGGTGCTTCTAGGGGTCAGTAGCAACCAGTGGCAGAGGCCAGTGTGCCGGGCACTTTCTGCCCTGTGATGTGAATATTGATAAATTGTCAGGGCTCTTCCAACCATTAAAGCAGCCTCAGTAACACAGTGATTAAGTTCTCAGCTGCTAACTGAGAGCTTGGCAGTTCAAATACACCCACTATTCAAATACTCCAGAGAAAGGCATGATGATCCAGTCCCACAAAGAGTATATATAGCCTAGAAAATCCTATGGGGTGATATAAAGTTGCTAAGAGTCGGAATTGACTTGATGGCACTTGTCCACAATCAGCGTAGGGGTTGCTGGTCTAAAGGGATTCCACCAGCCCTGGTCCTCCACTGAGAGTTTTATTCTGCACACCCCTCCCCTTCCACCATAGAGACTTATGCCCTTTGCTTCCTCCTCCACCTCAGTGCATCCCCTGGAAGGACAATGCATGCTGCACTGCCCACACCAGCTGGGAGGCCCACCTGGAAGCATCCCCACTCCACAACTTCAGCTTGACTCACTGTGGACTTCTGACCCCTAGTTGTCAGAAGCACTTCATCCAGACCCTCTGCTTCTATGAGTGCTCCCCAAACCTGGGGCCTTGGATCCGCCAGGTGGGAAGGCAAGATGGGAGACAAGAGGTAGAAGAGGACAATGTCTGAGCTCCCATCTGATCTTCTGCTGATGTCTCCAGAATGCTAGGAGGAGGAGGGGATGCTAGCTCTCTGTGAACACAGCACAGGAAAAGGGTGGGGAGGAAGTTACTTTCAACCCTGGAGAGGCCAATGGGAGAGACTGGTCCAGTGGGAACAGTAGGATGAAGGACAGCTTGGGGGAGTTAGAAGAACTCAGCTCAAATCCCATCGTTTAATCTATTAGCTGTATGTTCTCATTTGTAAAATAATACCTTATAAACTGTGATAGATGATGTACAGATGGTACGTGGAACAAGTACCATTGGAGCTATGAATAGTGTTTAACCTGCTGCTATTCTTGTCTGTGTCTGTGCCGGTGCCCAGGTGGACCCACGTGGGCAGGGAGAGTGCATTGTGAACGTGCCGCTGTGCTGGGAGGACTGTGAGCGGTGGTGGACTGATTGCCGCACGTCTTACACGTGCAAGTCCAACTGGAAGGGCGGCTGGGTCTGGAGTCAGGGTGAGTGGGCTCAATAAGGGCAGGGGAGGAAGGAGGAGGCCTCTGGCAGGTCCCCTAATGGCTGGCAGGTGTAAATCTGCCCTTTCCTCCCACAGGCAAATGCTAGGAGTGTGAAATGGGAATAGTGGGGTGGGGCACAGAGAATAAATTGCGCATGCCTCAATTCCCCACAGGGAAGAACCGCTGCCCTGCAGGGGCTCACTGCCACCCGTTCCCTCATTACTTCCCTACCCCGGCTGACCTGTGTGAGAAGATTTGGAACTACTCTTACAAGGCTAGCCCGGAGCGCCGTGGCAGTGGGCACTGTATCCAGACGTGGTTTGAGCCTGCTCAGGGCAACCCCAATGTGGCTGTGGCTCGCCTCTTCACCAGCCCTGCCCCATCCTGGAAAGTATCCTACCCACTCTTGCTCTTCTCTGTTCTTGCCATTCCATTCCTGAGAGTCCCTTGTCTCCCACCAACCCCCACATGCTCCCACCAGCTCTGGGCCAGACCATAGCTGCCACATCCTCAAGCTTTTCCTTAGGAGGAGCAGTATAGGCGGGGGAGTTGACATAGGACGCTAGGGCTTCAGGACCTGGTAACTGAACCGTACATGTTCTGTCCTAGGCAGGCTCTCTTCTGCTCTGTTCTGCCTCACTGTGCTGGGGAGGCAGCCAGAGCTAGAAGCCTGGGGGATATGCTTTCTTCTGACTTTGAGAACAGTGGAGTGGTAGAGACATGGAGCTCTGGGCCTTTCTCATCCAGTGCTTGTCTGTCCCCTTCCATGGCACACCTGAGGGGCAGCCCTGTCCACTTGTCCTATGATGGTGCCTCAGATAAAATGACAGTTGGCCTTTTCTGTCTGTGGCCCACTCCATTCTACTGCTGTATGCAAAGGAGCCAACCTATACAACAATGGAGCCAGTTATTAGTTAACAATTATTAACTTCTTCAAGGCCCTCTCCTTTTGTCCTCATAACATTTCTGACAAAGAATTACATTTTCAATAAGTGATGCACGTTACAAAAGACCCACACCAGGATGAGGAATCAGCTGCTTAAACCATTTTCCGACTTCTCTTTTCCTTTTAATCCGCACTCCTCATAGAATCACATTCCACTGGTCTGGAATTTTGGTAACCTAAATTTTAATCTGGCTTGACCACTTTTTATATAACCTTTGGCAAGTCCCTTTGACCTTCATTTGAGATTGTCTTGCTTTTCTTCTCTTTTCTGCTGATAGGAATGAGGTAATTGGGTTAGATGATGTCACTTATAAAAAATAAAGAAATAAAGAAGCCAGTGTGGGTGTTTGCTTGGAGTGCGCTGCTCAGACACAACCATTTCTTCAACGGAGAGGTGGTAGAGCTCACACTGAGCTAAGGGAGTGATGTTGGGTAGCCGTCACTTCCCTTCACTAGTGCACTGGACAGTTGGTGGTTTCCTTGAACCTTCTATCGCCTGAAGCCCTGTAGCTTCCTAGCACTCCAAGCGAGCCTTCCCCACATCCTTCTGCTTTGACTGAGAGGCCTCTATCATGGCTGCCCAGAGGTAGTTATCATTTCCAACTATTATTTTTCATTCTCTCCAGATTCCAGGCCCTGCTCCTCAGTTACCCTTGGACTCTATTCCTCCCACACTTCCTTTGAGCATGCTTATTCACTGAACAAACTCTGTTGTCAGTGGGTTCCCAGAGTTACACTACACATAAACTTTTCTAGACAGTCGTTTTGTGTCACCCCCTTCAGACAATGTTAACCCATAGCAGCCTGTACTTCCCATGCCCACTAGTGACATCACTGTGCATTTGGATCTTCACTTTTAAATTGATCAATAACTTTTAACTTCAAAAATAAAAAGAACCCATGCAAAGGGGGGGTGGAATTATATAATTGTTGATCACCGGGATATATGGGATGAGAGGAGAAGAGGTAGGGAGGGGAAGATAGAGCACAGGGTAGGAAATAGAGACATAGGGTAGCTTTGGTGCTGGGGGAGGGAGGACACTGCCAATACACAAGAAGGGGGAGGGGAATGGAAGAACAAGGCTGGTGGGAGAACATTTAGGCAGATTCCCATAGGCTAAGTGTGACAGAGGTAAATGGTGATGTATGCACAACCTTGGAACAACAGAGCTTCGGGATACAGGGATTGAGACATGGTTTGAATGGGTTAAAGAGGGGATTAATGATAAGATGCTTGGCTGTCTTTTGAATCTTTGTTTCCCTTGCTGACCATTGTGAAATATACACTTGGGGGGGGGGGGAAATAGCCAGAAACATCACAATAGAAAGCTTGTAAGTCTGTCTTCAGCCTATAACTGATTGGAATACCTTAAAGGGGGCTAGAAATTGCCCAGTGAAAGAGACCTCCTGTGGAGCTTTTGCATTGCATAAGATCATAGGTGGAAACCAGAACCACATTCAGAATTGTCTGAGTGGGAAATTTCCACTGGAAAGGATGAGCAGATCAGCCTGGAGTGGCTAGAAGAACAGAAGATATTTCATGAAGAAAAACCAGCAGGAAAAATCCAAAACAGTAATGGCAGTCGGGTTGATTACTACAAGAACAAGTAAGCTGTTTCACCCAGGAGCCATCAAGGCAAGTCATCAGGTCCCCTCAGAGCAAATTCCCTTCCAAGACTAAGATTCAAGGGGAATACACAAGCAGCCATGTGGTCTGGCTGGTGACCACATTGGTCACTGATAAGGGGAAGAAAGGGAAAAAACAGCAATGAAGTTGTGAGCTAAGCCTGACCACATTCAACAGACTCCTGTGAACCCAGGTGGAGACCTGGATGGCCAGCAGTATGGCAAGACCCAGGGAATCCTGGGCCCAGAGGCAGTGACATGGCCACAGAGAACTAGAGCAGAGAGTGAAGCATCCAGCTGATGTGAAGCAAGGGGAGATGCACAAGAAAACCCATACTTGCAGATAATACCCACTTGACCTGGCTTCAATGGCTGGATGATCAGAACTCTACTAGAAGAAGAAGAAAGAGAGGGGTGGGGAAAGAGTAACCCACTATAATTTGATGAACTTTACCTATACTTATGGATATAATAGCTCAAAAAAGGGAACAAACCTTTACAGCAAGGATCACTCCCACCCCCTCAGTACACAGGGTTGACAGGGATGAGAAACCTAGACATTGGCTACCCAAAATGGGGGTGGGGGTGGTGGCTATAAAGGCAAGAAGTGACTGGCTTACAAGCTTTCAAGAGGGAGCCTAGTTCCAGATGGGGTGGGGGAAGGTAAATCACCACTGAATGATTTCCAATCTGTTGGGACCAGACTGGTGAAAGGAAATGGGGATAAGATTCTTGTGGTACGATAGTGAATAATTGTCATCAGGATTGACTGTGAGAGTTGGAAATGTAGAGGTAGATGGGTTTTGACAAAAGGAGAAGAGTGATTGATTTTGTAGCCCAGGAGCAGAGGTCACTGGGACCATCAAGTGAGAAGAACGGAGAGTGTGACCCTACTCTGAGAGGCAGTGACACCAGGGACAGAGACAGACGAGCAGATGGGGACACTAGACTCAGGGAGAGGGGGGCAGGCCTGTGGGGTGTACCCTTTGGTTATTTGATGAGGCATGGAGGGGATTATAATCATTGCAATGAAACAAAATACGATAGGATGAATGTAAAACTGATGTTCTCTCATGTAAACCCATATAATTCACAATAAAAACTAAAAAATATGTAAAGGTAAAATCTGAAGGTGGCGTAGAGTGAACTGTCTGAGTGTGTGTGCTTGGTAATACGTAAAACAAGAGTTCAGTGGATTTTTTGTTTTTGTTTTTGTTTTTCTTTAACCAATAATTGGGTTAAAGTAGACAAAACCAGACTAAGGAAACACTTTTCCTCCAGCTGATTCTGAGTCGTGGAGGTCCTATGTGACAGAGTACAACCACATAGGGTTTCAATGATGGATTTTTTTTAAAGATCACCAGACCTTTCCTCCAAGACACCTCTAGGCAGACTCAGACTCAGTCTTCAAATCTTTCAGTCAGGAGCCAAATACATTAACTATTTGCACCAAAACTCAATGAGGGAAGCCCTATTACTAATACTATATGGTAATCATTTACCATGAGTCTAAGTGTTCTGGTAAGCATGTAACATTTGGTCCTTGAAACAGCCAGTTGATTTCCATCATAGCAACCCCATATGACTTAGTAGAAACTGTCCCATAGGTTTTCTAGATTGTAATCTTTATGGGAGCGTATCTCCAGATCTTTATCCTACTAAGCTAATGGGTGGGTTTGAATCACCTAACCATTGCACCACCATGGTTTCTCACAACAGCCTTGAGGTAATCTTGAGCAGCAAATTCTCTTCATTGTTCAAATTATGGCATAAATTGTCATTGTTAGGTGCCATCAGGTCAGTTCTGATTTATAGCAACTTTATGCACAAAAGAACAAAACTGTCCCATACTGTGCCATCCTCGCGATCATTAAGATTGAGCCCATTGCTGCTGCCCCTGTGCAAATCCACTTCATAGGGGGTCTTCCTCTTTTTTGCTGACCCTCCACTTTACTTTCCTTCTTCAGGGACTGGTCCCTCCTGATGACATGTCTGAAGTATGACAGATAAACTCTAGTCATCCTGACTTCTTAGGAGCATTTTGGCTGTACTTCTTCTAACACAAATTCATTTGTTCTTCTAGCAGTTCATGGTACTTTTAATATTCTTCTCCAACACCATAGCTCAAATGTATCAATTCTTCTACAGTCTTCCTTATTCATTGTTCAACTTTCACATGTAACTAAGGCTATTGAAAATACCAGGCTTGAGTCAGACATACTTTAGTCATCAAACTGAAAAGTTAGCTCTTGAACACTTTAAAGAAGAGGTCTTGTGCAGCAAATTTGCCTAATGCAATACTTAGTTTGATTTCTTGGCTGCTGCTGCCATGAATGTTGATTGTGGAGCCAAGTAAATGAACTCTTTGATCTTTTCATTTATTTTCATGTTATCCATTGGTGTTGTTAAGTGCCGTCGAGTCAGTTCCAACCCATAGTGACCCTGTATAGG